ACGTGTGTGCTCATATCTAGTCAGTCTGATGATCTGTTGTTTTAGTTTTCCAGCTGGTCCGTGTCCCAACAGAATAAAAGGTTTCACATATCTGAAGCTGTGTTTACCTAAAACACCTAACAGCTTTCACAGAGCAAAAAAACTGCAGAACCGGAAGTTAACTTCAGCTTTGTCCAGTCTGAGCTAACTAGCTAGCATGCTAACACCCAGGCAGCAGGCTACATGCTACAAGAGACCTCCTGCTCCTCCTCCTCCTCCTCTCCGGTTCCGACCGTCACATTAAGTGTGGGTTCTGTAGAGATACGGGGTTCTGATGGCTCCACTGTTGAATCCTGCTACATTACATCTTGTTTACAGTCAATATGAAGCTACGTGTCGGAACCAGGCCGAGCTAACGCCACGTTAGCTTCTTGTTAGCTGCTAGCTGTGTTCATGAACACTGACCTGAACATCGGTGCTATCAGAGCTCGAGCCTGCTGTTTGTCCTCCGGGGACGTTGTTGCTCCGGGGCTCCGGGTCCTGGTTGTCCTCCTCCATCCCGCTCTTGGTCCTGGTCTCTGAGATCCAGCAGGTCTCCGCTGTGACTGTCGGAGCTCTTCAGATTCAGGAGCGCTGCGGGACCCCGTGGAGCTTTACGCCCCCTTAGTTACTGTTGCTAAGCGCTAAGTAACCTTTAGCAGCAGAATCAGTGTTTCCAAGATGTTGAAGCTTTTTGTCCCGCAGAGATTCACAAACCATCGTTACTGTATCAGCAGCTGGAGACTCTGTTCTGTTCTCCAGACTGCAAACAGCCTTAAAACGAGTTCTGATGATTATAATTAGAGAACTATGTGTAGACAATGTGTCAGATATTTTCATGCGCATTACTTGTGCAGGTTTGTGTTGTGCAGACATATTACAGGGGGAGTGGATTTGTATTTATATAAATATACACTGACTAAATGTAATGTGGCAGTTTGTGCACTGATTTGCAAAATATTGACATTACATTAGATTTACAGTGAGAGTGCAGAAAGTGAGAACGTCCCATGTGGTGAATAAAAGTCCTTCACCCTCACGTGTCTCCTCCCTCTCAGAGATGCTCGGGGGAAGCCAGGAGTCAAACAGCGTCGACCTGTCACACCTGTTGTTCCTCTCTGGCATCTGGACACGGGCTTCACCTGAAACTCCACCTGACAACATGTGATGACCCAGATCACTGAGACGTTTCTGCTGGACAGCTTCTGACTGTTACCTGCAAGGTGACCGTGTTGATGAACACGTGAAAGTGATCCACATTATCAGAACAACACTGTGATGCACTTTGACCACAGAGACTCACTCAGTGTTTCACTGGATCACCTGAAGAGACCAGCTCAGGTTTGTTTGACTTCTGTGTGAAAACAACAAGAAATGCATCACATGTTGTGAGGAGAAGAGTTATGGATCATTTTGAGAAGCATGAATATTCTCTGAGGAGGAAAATTGTAAATACAACCTCCAATGTATAGAAAGCATTTCTCAACATGTTATTTACAAACTTTTGAAAACTTAAAATTAAACTTTCAACCTTTATTATTGTCCTAATGAAAAGTTGGACTGACTTTACTGTTAAATTACATAAATCTCTGTCAGCTGCTGCTGTCTGTGCAGCTGATGTTGTTATTTGTTGTCCTCTCAGTCTGTCAGGTGGAGGTGGAGGAGGGAGTGGAGTCTGCCCTGCCGCCCGTCAAGACTTCAGCCAAAAGAAGGACGTCCATTAAAGCAACATCAGTGTGGACAGACAGTCTCCAGTCAGTGAGCAGCTTGTAGCTCTGATCACAGTCAGCACCTTCTACTAACACTAGAGTCAAACACAACAGGAAGCTGGACAGACAAATGTCTCCACACAACAAGCTCATTCTGCTTCCTTTGTCCTCCAGCCGGTGACCCAGAGATCCACCGAGCTCCTCCATCATCCAGGAGATCTGCTGGAGATCAGGAGTCTGCTTGTTGATTGGTCGGCTGATCTGATGAACAGTAAAAGTGGAAATTATAGTTTTAATATTCCTCCAGAAGTGTAAAAAGGAATAACAGCAGAGCCTCTGAACGTCTTCATGATGATTCAGCAAATGGAAATGATTCCATGTGTGTGGAATCCAAATAAGAACTTAATCCTAAAAACTTTGGTGTGTTTCCTCTTCTTTAGCCAAAAAGCTTCTTTCTTCTTCCTCTTATTGTTTCCACGTCATCTCGACTGCTTCAGGAGAGCTGAGCTCCAAATATCTGTCTTCTTCTTCATTCTCTAATCTCAGTCTGCTGTCACACTTCATGCACTACACACAAACCACAGGTATGATCTGGAACATTTCTCTTTGTCTTTATTACTCCCTCACATCGGGGGCCTGAATCCTGAAGCTGCTTTAAGAGTCTGGGTCTCTCTTGGTGATCTGGTCTCACTGAGTCTAACAATGGCCATCCTTGATAACCAGTATCATGAAGCTGCTTATGGACTGGCTCTGTTAACTCAGGGATTTCCATCCAGCTCGGAATATGTGAAACAGGACGAGTTGTTAGTTACAACAACATCATCACAAACATGAAGGAAGAGCTTCTTCTGAGACAAGAGCAGCTGAATATATATTAGATAGATTTCAGACAGATTATTGGACAGATGGTGCAGGAAGCTTTCAGCTGGCAGGTGACACAATATAAAGACTATATTCAGCTCCACCCAGGTTCGAGTTAAGACACCAGTCATAGTCCACTGAAGCCAACAAGGTATAATAATATATACAAAATTCGTATTCCAAAACATTTTATTTGGTCTGAACAGATGGAAGCAGGTCCCGTTGCGTAACACAGTGTGATGTGCCTTATAGACAAATATCTTAATCTCTCCAATACCAGACAGCAGAATTGACAATGTCTGATGAATTGAACACATAAAAAAAAGTTACAAAAAAATGTTGTTGTCTTTGTGAAATTTATTAAAGGTTAGAATAGAAAAGAGTGATTCAGCTGAAGGGCAATGCTCATACTCCTGAGGGCGATTAGAGAGTCTGACCCTGAGAAACAGATAACTAAGAAATTTAATGCTAGAGAATAATTGTGAAGTCTACGGGAAAAGCCTTTCTCTGCCTTGAGCCACAGTGGAAACTCTATTCTCACAAGAAAACATAAGACAAAACGATCTAAAAGCTACGAGAAACCATTTTTGATAGTAACCCAGAGGAAACGCTACTCTTGAATGCATCTTATACTACATAACATTCTACAACAAGGACTTGCAACTCTGAAATTTCCCACCAACGTTACACATGTGAAAGAGGAGCTAGATAATTTTGTTCGGCAGGAAGCCGTGTTCGATACTTGTTCAGCTCACGTTTATTAACATATCTGCTCTGGTTTTATCATTTGTGACGTACCAAATGTAAGTACAGACAAGCAGTTAGTAGATATCTTTACAATACTTTAAACAATGTAGTTTAACCGCTCATTAACGTTAGCGCTCCTCCACTGATAAACATGGCATTAGCTACCTTTGTGGCCAGTTTAATTTAGCAATGGGAAGCGTTAGCTGCTGTAAGCAATGTTAGAGAATAGGGCTGAAGGATTTAGGAAAAAATCAAATTGCTATATTTATGCCAGAGATTGCGATTAAGATTCAATTAGATTTTTTAAAGTTTCACTAATTTTCAATAATCATTAAGTAATATATAAAACATGTCATGGAGCTTTACAACATGTGACACCATGAAAAATGAATGGCACAATTTTCAAAATAAAACATGCTGTGCAGACCCCCGATTGTATATCAACAATAAACACAGTTAAAACAGACCCCAATGTATCGCAAAAGAAACATCTACCTACACAGACTTAAAATACATAGCATTCTGAATACAATCCCAATAATTAATCTTAAAAACAATGATTTGATTTGATGCCATGGTTTGAAAATGTACTATATGGTAGAATGAAATTCATCAATCTTTTCTTGGAGTACTAACATAACTTGGGTGTGAAAACATTTCTTATGAGCCACTCTCACCTCCCCCTTCTGATCCCTAAATTGCAGTCTTCCCAAAACATTTTAAAAACATGAATTTTCTCTGATACATTTGGGCTTACCTTCTCTATGTCACCTAGGGTTAGACAAAGGATTAGATTTGTAGACAAATCACTAAAATCTTAACAAAAAATACAAGATCCATATTGAAGCTGCAAGTAGCATTGGACGGGCCCTTGTGAAGCATGTCAGGGTGTGCCAGGGCTGCACCACAGGAGCCACAGCTCTGCCAACACGGCTTTGAATTGACAAGCGCTTTGGACACTGCACAAAGGACTTAAACATCACTCCCTGTGTCACCTAGTTGGCACTAGAGAGCACCTAGTAACTACACATTATGTCCCAGTACATCAAGTGTAGATATGGGGTCATTTTGTTTCAATACTATTTGTCTGAACAATCTGATCAATGTGTAAATGTGTAATATGTAAATATAAAACACTTTCCACAAACACAAAATAAAGATTTCTAAACTCACAAAATATTTTGCAAATATAAAACCAATCTGGAAATACACAAAAAAATTCCACAAAAAACAAATCAGGTGAATATGTATGTAATAAATTAACCACATTTGTGAATATCTTCCTAACATTTACAACTTTCAAAAGGCATTTGTGAGTCCAGTTTTAATGTATAAATTGTTGAAAAGCATTTGTGAATAGCTTCCTAATATCTGTCATTTTCAAACAGGCATTTGTGAGTCCAGCTTGTATTTCTCAATCTCAGTTCTTCACACGGAGTTATGAAACAAACTTTCCATCAGTAGAAAGAAAATCGACTTGTGTCACTCGGCCGTTTTCGGAGCTGCCAAAAAGCGCTAACTTGATCAAGGGCTAGACTGGGACAAAAATTCAACGATGAAAGACTTTGGTCACAAGAACAAGACGAAAAGATATTTTAACACTATTTTGAAGAAATATTCAATGATGAAATATATGAGTGGGGACCTGGGGGTCCTCCCTCAGAAGATTTTGAGCATTAAACTCCTAATTTCCTGCATTCTGGAGACATTTTCTGCACCAATTTATGGAGTACATGTCTTTATTTATATGAATGGCAGCACAAAATTCAGGTGGCAGGTGACAATTCAACATTTAATAATATAATGGAATATAATGCAGTAATCAGTAACTGTTTTTGTTGCTTAAGTAACTTTCTTGGACAATGCATATTTGTTTCTTCTATATTTAACCAATTATGCTTTCAAAAAGTGACAGGGACATGTCCCCAGCGACCCCAGTGTAAATGACACCAATGGTAACAGATTTACATAGGACTTATGTCTCAGCATGTATACATTTCATCTCCTGTTACTGTCTTTCTCTACTGCAGAGTTCATTACAACCCAAACATTTTTGTGTGACTGTTTTCTTCCAACCTCTACCACCGTCCTCCATGTCTCTGCTAGGCCTAGGGTTAAAACAGAGGTGATCACAAAACGGCATATCACTGAAAACACTATAGTGAAAAATTTATTGAGGCTTTCTCCTCGACACCCGCACTCTCACGGGTCTCAGTCAATGAGCTTGTAGATAATTTCAGTTCTAAAATTACAAATGTTATTGATGCCATTGCACCAGCCAAGGTGAAGGTGGTCTCTGGTAAGAGAAGATCTCCATGGAGAAATGCCACGCTGGTTAGAACTCAAAAAAGAGAGAAAAAAAAAGTTGAACGCAGGTTGCGGAAACAAATCTCCAGGTTCATTATGACATCTATAAACAGAGACTTCGCATTTATGATTTAGAGCTGAGAAATGCAAGGCGGTCCTTCTTCTCTGACATCATCACCAAAAACACTAATAATGCACGTGCCCTGTTTGCTGCTGTCGACGGGCAAACCAACCCTCCTGTGTCTGTAGCCTCTGAACTTCTATCTACCAGGGCCTGCAATGAATTTGCCTCGTTCTTCACAGACAAAATCCAAACAATTAGACAAGCAATAAGTGCCTCCATGTCAGTAACAGGATATGTCTTGTCCCTGTGTCTACTTAAAAACAATTCATGTAGCATGAGACAATTTGATTCTATTAACCATAAAAACCTGGAGGACAAAATACAACATCTGAAATCCTCCTCATGCTGCCTTGATATTCTGCCAACAGGTTTTTTAAAAAATGTTTCTAAATGCATGGCCTCAGATCTACTACAAATTGTTAACATGTCTCTCCTCTCAGGTTTTTTCCCCACAGGCCCTGAAAACTGCAGTCATTAAGCCACTCTTAAAAAAGAGCAATCTAGACAGGTCACTAATGAGCAATTATAGGCCCATATCAAATCTCCCATTTTTAAGTAAAATCATTGAAAAGGCTGTTTTTCAACAGCTTAGTGCTTTCTTGGCACTAAATAACTGTTTTGATGTCTTCCAGTGAGGATTTCAACCACACCACAGCACTGAGACGGCTCTTGTTAAGGTCTTCAATGACATCCATTTAAACACTGACAGTGGCAGAATTTCAGTCTTAGTATTATTGGATCTCAGTGCTGCATTCGACACAGTCGACCACAACATATTACTTGACAGACTTGAAAACTGGGTTGGACTTTCTGGCACTTGACTAAAATGGTTTGAATCCTACTTAAAGGACAGGGACTACTTTGTGTCTATAGGTAATCACACATCTGAGCTGACAAAAATGACATGTGGAGTTACCCAACGGTCCATTCAGGGACCTCTTTTGTTTAACATTTACATGCTTCCACAGGCTAAGATTATGAAAAATAACAAAATATGTTACAATAATTATGCAGATGACACACAGATTTACATAACAATATCACCAGGGAACTATTACCGGTTAACGGTTGAATGTGCCAGAATTTTCTTCAATTAAACAAAGATAAAACTGAAGTTATTGTTTTTGGAGCCAGGGAAGAACGATTGAAAGTCAGTGCTCGACTTCAATCTGTAATGTTAAGAACTACAAATAAAGCCAGAAATCTTGGTGTAGTCATGGACTCAGACCTTAATTTGAGGAGCCACATTAAGACAATTAAAAGTCAGCCTACGATCACCTGAAAAATATATCAAGGAATAAAGGACTTATGTCTCAGCAAGACTTGGAAAAACTTCAGTTACTGTTACAGTCGACTCGACTACTGTAACGGTGTCCTTACAGGGCTCGCTAAGAAATCCATCAGACAGCTGCAGCTGATTCAGAACGCTGCTGCTCGAGTCCTCACTAAGACCAAAAAAGTGGATCACATCACTCCAGTTCTGAGGTCTTTACATTGGCTTCATGTATGTCAAAGAATTGATTTCCAAATCCTGCTGTTAGTTTATAAAGCACTAAATGGTTTAGGGCCAAAATACATTTCTGATCTTCTGCTTCGTTATGAACCATCCAGACCTCTCAGGTCGTCTGGGGCAGGTCTGCTTTCTGTCCCCAGAGTCAAAACTAAACAAGGAGAAGCAGCGTTCAGTTTTTATGCTCCGTATATCTGGAACAAACTCCCAGATAACTGCAGGTCTGCTGAAACTGTCAGTTCTTTTAAATTAAGACTGAAGACTTTTCTTTTTATCATTGCTTTTAATTAAATATTTAAGACTTTTCTTATTACCACTGCCTTTAACTAGTAGATTGATAACTTACACTGCACTGTAACTTTTACTGTCCTGTTTTCGTTTTCTTTGTTTTTAGATATTAACACTATTTAAAAAGCTTAGAGTGCTCTTTTGATTCTACCATCTCACACGCCTGATCCTCAGTTAACAGAGCCGAGTAGAATTACAAGGATTAGAGTCCCTGTTTTGTCCGCTGTTAACTTGTTGACAGGGCCCGCTGTCAAACTCTTTTACCAGAGTTTGAAGCGTGGACAATCTGGATTTACATTGACGACTTTCTAAAGAAGGGTTAGAGTCCCCTTAGGGTTAGAGTCACTAAGTAACTGAAGAGGGGATGGAGTGGGAGATCCTTCTCTCACCCCTACTGATCATAAACCTAAGATGCAAAAAATATTAAATGCATATCTTGTTCTCTTACATTTACTGGCATCACCACAATGGTAACAGAGCTTTTGCTCCGCTGTTTTGCTGCTCTAGTCAGAAAGACGGTGGGGAAATGAAACAACGTTTAACTTATTTTAAAAACCTGAAAGATCCGGGGCTTTTGACAAAACATTTGGGGCTTAAGCCCAATTAGCCCCCGCTCCGCCTATGGGGCCTTCATTCAAACGTAACTAATGAGGCTCCCCTTGTAACCCTGTAGTTACACCTTAATGTTAGTATCCACTGCATGGACTGTATAAAAGGTGTCCACTGATATGCCCATACTCTCTAATTACAGTCACAACGAGCAATGTGCTGTTCTCCTATTCTTACTCAGTATAGACATAGGTATTTACACATGGCATGTGGGCGGAATATAAAATGTAAACAGTTATAGTTTAATGATGATTATTTATTCCTGTGTGTTGTTTTGGGGTATTTTCCACATTGTCTTGTTGTTCTCTCCTCATTCTTCTTGTCCTCTTCTGAGAAAAATGTGGTTGTCTCAAAAAAGGAGTTCTCACCTATTCCTCCTCTGCTTTGCCCATAAAGAGAAAAAAACTGTTACTGCTGGTTATGTGCAGAAAAGACTCTAATAATCATAAAACATAGCTCAACACGAACATTTAAGCAAACATTTAATTCAACAGTCAAGGTTTGTTTTTAGCTTCACACCATTAACATTAGCTAAACGCTGTGGGATTTCACACTGCTTAAATTAGGCTAGCGGCTTTTCCCTCTACTCACAGCTTAACAAAATACATGTATAATATATACTATTTCTTACTCACCGCACAGATCACACAGCTTACTTCTTGTTGCCAGTAGGTGTGATTATAACTGACAATTGACCCTTCGCTAAGCTAGGTTTAGGAAAGAGAATAAATCGTTCTTTTCCTATCAACCTCTCTGGGTGGTGACTGTAACTATTACAAGTGCCCCAGGAACTGCGTTTGACCATATCTTATTGGCCAGCTGTGTATTCGGGGCGTGGCTTAGTGAAGGGTCAATTGGCATGTTGATGTGTTCAGTGCAGGACTGTCATAATACATGTCAAATTAACAAGGGCTGCACAATTAATCTAATTGCAATTGACATCATCCTGTGGTATTACATAACCACAAAAAGGGTGCAAATTAACAACAAAATAGTGTGCTGTGTGTGACTCTCGTCTTTGTGTTTGCTGCAGTCTGCTCATTATCCACGCCCACAACAGGCTCTCGCATGTCTTAAAAATAGATACGTGTCAACCAGAAAACTGATTTATGAGCAGTGTGCCAGTAATGATAAAGAAAACAACCTACTGCAACCCCCCTCCCCATCCCGATGCTAGTCGTTCAAAACATTGTCGGACTTGCCACCGGAGCACAGACTTCAATGCCGGTGCGCCGGATGCTCTCATTGTCTTACCACTTCAGAGAGGCTGAAGTGGTAAGACAGAAGAAAACAGGGGAAAGATAAGGAATGTTTGGGTTTGGCTCGCTGGCCATTTAACGTTAGCTGTATCAGTGCCTTGTGTTGTTCAACATGTTCAACTTTTCATAAAGCCAATGTGCTGGTCAGTGGCCGTATTTCCATCAACGTTTTTTTAATGCGCATAGGTGGTGATGGCGTAATGGACATGCCTTTGGTGTGAGAGACCCGGGTACAATCCCCCACTGTGACCCATCCACCATTGTGTCCCTGAGCAAGACACTTAACCCCTAGTTGCTCCAGAGGCGTGCGACCTCTGACATGTATATAGCAATTGTAAGTCACTTTGGATAAAAGAGTCAGCGAAATGAATAAATGTAGAAAAGGTTGATGGAAATGGCAAAATTCGACAAAAAGTCCTTAATTTTCGCAAAAAAGATTTTACGCTCGGTTGGTGGTTTTTTTTTGTCAACAAGAGTAAATGCGCTAAATGGGAGACGGAAAAACTTTTTCCGAATAAGTTCTGACGTAGCTAACTTGTAACTCACGACTGATCAGCTGTTTCTGCAGTCAGCGTCTTGCACGGTTGTGCAGAGTTCTGCGTGCCTGCTGAGAATTTCATGCACCTCGTGGCTGGTAATGCTCAATTATGCTGACAAAATAGGTGGATGCAAATCTCGACAGGTAGCCTTCATCATCTGTTCTGCCAAATTATGCATTCACCTCTTAAAAGGTCCTTTTCAGATACTTTGCTCTGCACACTGATCAAACGGGGTTATCAGCGTATATTTTTCGCTGAATCTCAAAGAATGCTACTTCTACTGAGTGTAATAAAATATTAACAACTCTAAATGTTCATAAAATAAATACTTTGAATCATTTATCACCATTGATGTACCCCACAAAAGGATATAATAGCATTTAAAAGCATTATTTGGAGGTGCATGCAATCCTCGGCAGGTGTGCAAAACTCGGCAACACTGGATATTCCCATAACGTTTGGAGACATGGCCGGCAGCAACTTGCCCACTGGACCTCTGTCCATTTGTCTAAGATCAATGGACCTCAGGTTCATGCGACTGGTTTGGAACCCATACGTCGTGTTTATTACAGCCATGTGTAACATCAACTACTGACGTAACTACGCTTGCCGTAGCCTGGGTTTATTCGCTCCAAACCAGCTGATGGAACCATACTTATTTCACAATCTCTTTTTATTCTTTTTGGCAACATTTCAAAAGTACGCTTAAAATTCGCATGACAATTAGGCAAGGCAAGTGTATTTGTATAGCACATTTCAGCAACAAGGTCATTCTAAGTGCTTTACATAAAACAAACAGGGAAAAAGTAAAAAAAATTTAAATTTAAAAAATTTAAAAAATAAAGTTACATAGAAAATAAAAACAGGCAAGTCTCTCACCTTTGCTTATTTTACTCCTTTGATTTCCCATCTCCCACTCTACCGCCCTTTTTTTACACTTAGGGACTCTATCCTTTATTCCTTAGATACAGTTGTCTCTATCCAGATTGTCTACGCTACAAACTCTGGTAAAAGCGTTTGACAGCGGGACCCTGTCAACAAGTTACTTAGGGACTCTAACCCTAAGGGGACTCCAAGATGGAAACATGGCTAGTGTCACTTTTGTCAACTGACCAATCACAGCTACAGTAAACTTTCAAATGTTTGACATGATTATTAACAAGTTAGTACTTAGCATTTACAAATTTCCGACCAATGTAGAGCTCCTTTCCTGCACAAGGATTGAATGAATAAAACAACCCACAGAAATGAAACAGCTATAACTGGATTTAATAATCAACTAGTGGTAAAATATCATACTATTATACAAAATCGCGATGAATATAGTAATTAATATATTATTACACTAACGGTATACTATTAACTGAACATTATACTCCTACTTAATGTTATAATATTATACTAATACTCTCCAGGTTGCAGATGGAGTCTCTGCAGTGGACAGATGTAGATTTAGCCAGAGTCACAATGCCAGAGTGCCAATATTTGCTCCTTTTAGCCTCCTCCTCCTCAGAGAAACCCTTGTTCTCTTTTAAGGTTATTTTTATAAATACAATTTATCATTTAAAATGTTCAAAATGAAGCAGTGTGAATGCGTTGGTGGGATTTAAGCTGACGACACTGAGAAAAAGTTTTCCCACATTGGTCACACGAGTACGGCTTCTCCCCTGTGTGAACACGTTGATGGCATTTTAGCTCTCTTGATCTAGTGAAAGCTTTCCCACATTGGTCACACCAGTACGGCTTCTCCCCAGTGTGAACACGTCTGTGATTTACTAGATCACTTGATATAGTGAAAGCTTTCCCACATAGGTCACACCAGTACGGTTTCTCCCCAGTGTGAAAACGATGGTGCCTCTTTAATTCAACTGATGTAGCGAAAGCTTTCCCACACTGGTCACACCAGTATGGTTTCTCCCCAGTGTGACCACGTCGATGGACATTTAGGTTACTTGATGTACTGAAAGTTTTCCCACATTCTCCACACGAGTATGGTTTTTCTCCAGTGTGAACACGACGGTGCCTTTTTAAGTCACGTAATGTAGCGTAAGCTTTCCCACATTGGTCACACCGGTGTGGTTTCTCACCAGTGTGAAGACGTCTGTGATTTACTAGATCACCTGATATAGCAAAAGCTTTCCCACATTGGTCGCAGCTGTATGGTTTCTCTCCAGTGTGAATACGTCTGTGTCTTCCTAGGTTCCATGATGCAGTGAAAGCTTTCCCACACTGGTCACACCTGTGTGGTCTCTCTCCAGTGTGAAGCCTCTGATGAATCTTTAAATATCCAGATGTTGTGAAGGATTTGTCACAGTGCTGACAGCGGTGACGTTTCAGTCCCTCTCCTCTCTGTTTCTATAGCACAGACAGACATACAGAGAGAAAGACAATGACTGAGAGGTCCTGCTGTAGTGAGCTATTTAGGACCATAAATGACATTTAGAGCATGTCTGTGGAACATAACCCACAATGTTCAAGTTTGATTGCCAACTAATGCATTACCACCTGTGACGATAAACTGCAGGAGTGTGTCCACAGAGGGACCTGGGGAAACGGCATTAAAGGAACCGTTCTAAGCTGGTTAAAGTTTTAATTATCAGATAGATCTCAGTTTGTACATGCTAACAAGGAAACCTCCATGCACAGCAAAGTTAGTCACAGAGTTCAACAAGATAACTTCATGTTAGTTTCTAACCCAAAACTTAGCTAACATTTATGACATTTCTTGATTTGCCCTCCACGCCGCACCCCAACCAGCCAAGGCAGGTTAGGATTCAGCTTAAAGTGTCTACCTGCTAAAAGGAAGTTTTCCCTGCCTTTGTCAGCAAGTGCTTGCTCATGGAGGAAATTGATCGGCCTCTGTAAATAATATCACAAAGACCACATTCTAGACCTCTGTATGGAAAGTGCAATGACATAACTTCTGTTATGAATCGGAACTATTTAAATGAAATTTACTTAAAAATTCCCATCCCAAATACTTGTAAACTTTTACAGAGGAGCAAAATAAAGCATCCTGACTGGAAACATCAAAGGGTGTGGACCAGAGGGCTGCACCAGTTTTGCCCCGCAGAGAAGATTCCAGAGTTGAGAGTCCAACATGAACGGATTCAAGTTAGTCTATCTGTTCTTAACACAATGCTGTCAATCTCAAAGACCCACCTTCAAATAAGTTATTAACAAGCATGTAAGGAGCCTAGCTAATAAGGACGGCTATATTAATGTCAGAAAATTAACGTCAGAACATTAACGTCAACGTGCTGTACAAAGCTGCTAGTCAATATCACTTGCGCTTGTTTAACGCAATCCATATTACTATCTTCAGTTTGGCCTGCAAGAAGTGGAGCTATTTGTTAATGGTTGCCTTTAGTAATGCATGGTAGAGACAGCCAGCTACATTAGCATGAATTGGCTGCTGTTAGCTCATTAACGTTCAATTTTGATTTTTCGTTTTACCACTTCACAGCTTCTCCACATAATAAATTATAATACATCATAAGGGTGCAGGAAAACAACACAGTGGAATATTGTTAACATGTTCAATTGTTTATTAAATATATACACTACTAAAAAAATAAACAATCACAGTTAAAATGATCAAAATAAAAAGTTAATAGTACAAACAAAACTATTTACGTTTAAAATAAAACATACTAACAATCTTAAACATGACGCACACTCTCTCCTCCTGACAGCCATTTATTATATTTTTATTTTTTTACACAAATGCAAATGTGCAATGGATTCGAGTTGCCTCTTTCCTGATTGACAGAACCATAACTTACTAAATGAACATCATGTTGTATTGAAGAACACTTGAAACTAGCTAATGAGAACCAGAAAGTAAATAGACTGGCTTTGCTAAAGTGTCTGATTGTAGTTGAATACAAGTATAAACCATGTCAAAATTCTTGCTCAATCTTCATACTTTGCAGAATTGCACATTTGATCAAAACTGTAAGTAGTTTGGTTATACTGTTCAGTATCTTACAAAATAGTCAAATCAGAAGATTGCGTATCGTGATCCCTCCTGAAATAAATCATAAGATATTTCTGCCATATCGCCCACCCCTAATTGTCAGCACGAACTGTTGAAATGTAACCACACTTTTAAATAAGGCTGCACGATTAATCGCAATTATGATGTCACCCTGTGCAAACAGCAGAAGGGTGTGATACTCTTGTCTCTGTGTGCACTGAGGTGTGATCACAATTCACGCCCACACCAGGCTCTCGCATATGCCTCTAAAACAGATGTGTAGGAACCAGAAAAATTATTTATGAGCAGTGTAACAATAAAGACAACAACCCGTATCACCCTTCCCTGCCACGGCGCTAATCGTTCGAAATATAGTCGGATTGGCCTCCGGTGGCTCAGTGGCCGCTTGAGCAGCGCGTTATACTAACAGCGATAGAGATTTTTTTCATCTTTATTTAATAAGAAATATAATTTACAGACCAAAATCTACAGAAACTCTACATGCTTATACATTTATGCTCACATTCATACCCCAGAACATACATGAGAAAAGAAAAAAAAAAAAAAAAAAAAAAGAAGGTTTTAACACTTTTGCAAAATATATTACGACAGAAGAATAAATATGAAAAAGATAGGAAAAAAAACCTACAAGATTTGATATAATTAATTATAATACACATAGAATATTATTCCATTTTTTATTATATTCATCCAATTTATTTTTGCTTTCTGCTATTATCTTTTCCAAAAGAAGATGAGACCTTATGACATTCTTTAAGTGATCTAAACACAAGCTTGATGATGTTTTTGTTTTAAAAATAAACATTTTCCCTATTAATAAAATGGTATTTAACAAAAGAACACTATCTGTAAAATGACCAAGTACAATAGTTTGTGGTGTTATGGTAAGTTCTATCCTAGCCGTCTTTAACCAAACCGAATTTATATACAAATGGACAAAAGTAAAATAAATGCCATAGGTCTTCCTCTTCTTCCTCACAGAATCTGCAATGTGGACTATTTTCAATGTGGTATAAATATAAAATTTTTTTAGTTGCAGTTATCTTGTAAAAAATTTTCAATTGGAATATTCTTGAATATGAATCTACTGTAGTGTTATAAATTGATCTAAAATATTCTTTCCATGGAATTGGTGCATTAATTTCATGTTCCCAGTATTGGCAGACCCTGTGAGGAAAAAGTGCAAAACCTGCAGAATACAACTTCCAATTATAAATTATTTTATTTATTTTTATATTACATAACCATTTTTTACATCGTACTTTTGGGAGACAAACCAACTGCTTGTGTTTATTTTGTATTTTTGTTTCCAGCCAATTGGAATTGCTGAGACAATCTGAGTGAATTGATACAAATCCAAACATTCATTAAATTGTATTGAAAAATCATAAAATGAAATAAAGTGACCAGACATATCTAAGAAGTCATTCACAAAAATTAAACCATTTTGAATACATATATTCCACAAAAGTGGTTGGTCTCCTATAGTAATTTCAGAATTCATCCACAGTAACTGATTCTGCATATCATCTAAAGTATCAGGAGGATGGTACTGAAAATTCAACCATGCTTTAAGTACGTCTTTAAAAAAAAGGTGAAAGTTCTTTTAATTGATTCCGAAATATTCCTTTGATATGTAATGGTTTTAATTGAAAAAAAGGAAATAAATCCGAGCCAAAAAAAATAAAAGGATGTGTACAATCTTTTACTGGTAAGCCATTTTCTGTGATTATATATATTTTATTAACCCAAGAAGCTTTTATAGAACTATTCATTGCTTGGAGATTTTTTAGATTTAATCCACCATTTTCATATGAATTGTATAAATATTGTCTCTTAATTTTATCTGGTTTACTATTCCATAAAAATTTAAAAATGCTTTGTTCAAAGCATTTAAAAAAGGAATTGTCAGGAGTTGGAAGGGTCATTATTAAATAAACAAATTGGGGGATTACCAATGAGTTAATCAGTGTGACCCTTCCTTGTAATGTAAGTGAGCTGCTCCTCCATGGCTGTAAAATTCTATCTACTTTTTGCATTTTTTTATCGTAATTGTATTTGACAATATTTTGGAAATTGTCTGGTATGTGAATACCTAAAATATCTACAGAGCCATTTGTCCATCTAATAGGAGCAGAACAATTTAAATTGAAATCTGTACCATTTAAAGTCCCTATTCTCAATATATGGCACTTCTCAAAATTTGGTTTCAAACCTGATATTTTTGAAAACATATTTAGATCTGTAATCAAGGATTCCAAAGTAGATTGTTTTGGTTGAATAAAAAAGGTTGCATCATCAGCATACATTGTAAGTTTTGTCTCTATACTATTTGGCTTCAAACCCATGATATCTGTATTCTTTCAAATTTTTATTGCTAATATTTCAAGACATATCAGGAACAAATATGGTGACAATGGACACCCCTGACGAACCCCTTGTGTTAGGGGAAATCCAGTAGATAAATACCCATTATTTATAACTCTACTGCTGGTATGTTTATAGAGCGTCTCAAACCATTTGATAAAATTCTCTCCAAAATTAAAATAACAAAGACATTTCTTAATAAACTCCCATCTAACTTTATCAAAAGCCTTTTCAAAATCCGCTATAAATAGTAATCCTGGTTGTTGAGTATTTTTATAGAAATCTACAGTGTCAAGTATCTGTCTCAAATTGTCACCAATAAATCTTCCTTTTATAAACCAAATATATAGAGATGAGTCTTTGGCAGCTAAAGCACTGAAACAAGAGAGACAGGTTTGTATTTGGCTAGCTGGCTATTTAACTTATCAGGTGCCTCTTATTGAAACATCAAACTTTTTATAAACTCACTTTTCGTAAACCAACTAATCACCCCTTGGATGGTTTGGGATATTAAAAAGGAATTGACGTGCTACAGCAAACTCCCTCTGAATAAATGGTTCTGATTGACGAGTTATCACTTAGCATTACCAAATTAGAAACTTCCTCAACCACCATGTAGAGCATTTTTCTTGCCCACAAACATTAAACCGCTGTAACTGGAATTAAGGTTATCCTAGTGGTAAGCTACATAGTATACTAATACAGAGTTTCCACTATGTACGTTCAGTCCGCCGATGCAAATTTATTGCCGCTGCAGCTTCAGAACTTACGAAATGTAATGAACTCGTAATTACACAACTCTGGGAAGTACAGGTGCTCCGATCAGGATTTTTTGGGCCGATACCGAACACTAGATCTACTTGAAGCCTTTTATTTATCATGTAGTATTTATATATATATATGTATCAGGTATTAAAATGAACAGATGAAAAAAGTATCATGAAATGACAACTGTATTTTATTGCCAGGAAACATGGGCAACAAATTCCACTCCCTCCGTCTTAGAGACTTAAACCATAGCAGCCTTTGCCTAATTACTGCGAGCATCTTATAGCTTATCAAATATAGCTTTCAGAAACAGAAAAAACAGCATTTTTATAAATTTACTTCAACTATAAAAACTGCAACAAAGAAGGCTGCAGCCAAAATATTTAGGAGATGAAGGAGCACAGGCATCATGAGTCGATGATACTCTGAAGTAGCTGCTTTTTGTTCTGGAAAGCTCAGGCAGGTTGTTTGGACGTTAGGGGGTAGAGAGAGGAATAGAGAGAGGGAGAGTGGGCTACAGAGGAGTCATAACTGTTATCGCTGAGATTTGAAAATAAGGGAAATTTAAATAAACTATGGCAGAGGGAACAAACTGTCAAGCTTTATTTCCACCAAAGAAATGGCTGAAGTCGGCAGTGTGGGAGTATTTCCGGTACGCCAAGACTGACTGGGCGTTACTGTAGATGACTGATCAGCTGTTCAAAAACTTGCCGTTAAAAGGTTCCTGCTACAGGAGCGAATAACTACATTAAACTTGATGCAGCACCTGCAGGATCACCACCCAGCTTTGCACGCCCAAGTAAAGGTAGGCCTACTACATTATATTAAATAATGTAGCATGTTGGTAGGGAATTAAATATAAATGTGTCACTTACAATCAATGCCGTAGTGGTGAGAGTTGAGCTTTCAGGGCAACGTAAACAAACAAAGCAGGTGTAACCTTTCAGATCCACCGCACCGACAGCCTCACTGCGCTATGAGGCCCATTATTTTCAATGGCTTGTGGCGCGCCAGGGTGGTTTGTAGCTGCGTCGAGTAAAGTGCACTGCACAGCGAGCTCGCGCGCACACAGCAATCAAAGTAGTAGAACTTAAGTCTGAGCAGCTTCCACGCAGTGCAAAACGCTTCTTTTCTGAAAGGGCCTTTGTGGAAGAAAGAACGTAGTCCCCTCAAGACCTTCAGTCACTGAACATTTAACATTACATCATGTTGTCTTCTCCTGTCTGTGCGGAGAAAATGTTGCCAGATGTAAAACACTAACATACATCAGGAGCTTATAGACTTTCAGACTATAGGCTACCAATTAACTGCATTTCAGTTAACACTGCACTCAATTTCTTTTAAATTAAAACATGTGTATGGATGATAGTTGATGACAGTAACAGTTCTGTTTATTCCCCTCCTTTATAACAATTTCCCCTGGTGGATAAAAGTTAATATTCCTCTTATATTAATAATACTTACATATTATAGAAATATAATTGTTAATGTAATTAAATATTAAAAATCAACTTAAGTAATTACTTCTGTTAATTAATGCATAATAATCATGAAACCGTGATTATTTCTCTGACAATCGTACCAACAAAATCTGTAATGGTTGCATCCCTAGTTATATGTGGTATGTTAAAAGTACAATTCCATATTATACTGTTAGTATATTGTTAATATTACTTAGTTACCATTTTATTACAATTTCATATAGCCTAATTTACCACTAGTGTAGGCCTAATAATATTTCATTGGGTTGTTTTCATTTATTAAATCCTTGTGCAAGAAGCGCAGTCTACATTGGCCTACTGACTTTGCTTCTATTCAAACCCACAAGACTTACTTTGCAAGTTTAGCTTTTGTGGTGTAGTTTAAAAATCTGCTCTAGATTTTCCTACTTATTATTCACAGATGTGCTAATAACAATGTTCCAATATTATGTGGAATTGCATATTTCTTTATTGGAAAACATGAAAATTTTCTTAGGGGATGACCACCAAACCCCCAACACATAAGTAGCATCTTAATGTTTTACATTAAATCGCCCTCTGAGAGCATCTTTTAATCCCTATGGACATTATTTTTATTATTACTTGTAAATGCCCCTGTTTTGCACCTGCCTCAACTTCTCTTCTCCGTGCACTCACTGGATACTTCCAATGTGATCATTTTTCACGGCAGCATGGCTGGCCAGTTTGTTAATTAAGTAGCTTATCAATGTCATCGTCCATCCTGATGTTTCATTATTGACAATGTCCAATGTCAATTTTGTCATCACTCAACCCTAATTTTAACTCTGAAAGTAACTTTGTGGCTGCATTTACTTTTATGTTTCTTTTTTTGATGTCATGATACAGGTCTTAAATTTCATTCTAAGTGGTCTTAAAAAGTCCTAAATTTAAGTAGATGAAACCTGCAGAATGTACAACTCTAACTCTAATTCTAAAATAAGATATCTGGCCAGCACACAAAATTATTAAAACACATAGTAAGTTGTACTTTGTGTAGTTTACTAACCAAGTACTTTTATACTTTTGAGTGGGTTTGTCAAATGGTAATTTTAACCTTTAGTAGGGCTGGGGGGTATATCAGTATTATGAGGTACACCGATATAATTTCAAAAGAGATATAAAATTAGACAATACTGTTTATACCGATTTAGTTTGATATTGAGTTAATATGTTTCATAAAGTCTTGCATAAAATCAGTGTTTGCTCGTCTCTCTCCCTCACTGCGCAGCCCCGCCCCTCCCTCTGCATCTGCACACAGCCGTCTAGTCACAAACTCTTTGAACAACATGGAGGAAGACACAGTGCGGTCGACACTGCTGAATACCTGGCTTGTAAAAAGAAAAAAACAAATAACGGTTCAGTCAATTTATCTTTTTTTTACTGCTAACAGTGTTACCAAAGTTGTAATTTAATCATTAACAGGGTAAATGCCCATAAAAAAAAAAACAACTTTGCACCGTTTGCAAATTATGGTACTACTACAACAACTATTTTGTACTTATATTTCCAAATATTACATTTAGGTAAGATTTGAGGATTACTTATCTAAATGAACAAAGTGGAGAGGACCCATGATCCTTACCTGACTATGTATTTGTAAACTTTTGTTTATTTAATGAACTGTGGTGCAGAAAAAGTGAGCCTTTCTCTTGCAGGCTGCTTCTGTTTCTGAGGGTGAATGACCAGTACCAGCAGCAGAGCATCTGATGATGGGAGGATTCAAACATTATGCATTTTCATTTGATGTTTTTTTTTTATTATTATTAATGGAAGTTCTTGAGCACATTTACATTTAAAAATAACCAGCTCTGTGAATCACTGCACTGCCTCTGCGGCTCACTGGGTGGCGCTCTGAGGCCTCCAGTGGGAGAACGGTAGAAAGAAAGAAAACGTGTGTGCTCATATCTAGTCAGTCTGATGATCTGTTGTTTTAGTTTTCCAGCTGGTCCGTGTCCCAACAGAATAAAAGGTTTCACATATCTGAAGCTGTGTTTACCTAAAACACCTAACAGCTTTCACAGAGCAAAAAAACTGCAGAACCGGAAGTTAACTTCAGCTTTGTCCAGTCTGAGCTAACTAGCTAGCATGCTAACACCCAGGCAGCAGGCTACATGCTACAAGAGACCTCCTCCTCCTCCTCCTCCTCCTCCTCTCCGGTTCCGACCGTCACATTAAGTGTGGGTTCTGTAGAGATACGGGGTTCTGATGGCTCCACTGTTGAATCCTGCTACATTACATCTTGTTTACAGTCAATATGAAGCTACGTGTCGGAACCAGGCCGAGCTAACGCCACGTTAGCTTCTTGTTAGCTGCTAGCTGTGTTCATGAACACTGACCTGAACATCGGTGCTATCAGAGCTCGAGCCTGCTGTTTGTCCTCCGGGGACGTTGTTGCTCCGGGGCTCCGGGTCCTGGTTGTCCTCCTCCATCCCGCTCTTGGTCCTGGTCTCTGAGATCCAGCAGGTCTCCTCTGGGACTGTCGGAGCTCTTCAGATTCAGGAGCGCTGCAGGACCTCGTGGAGCTTTACGCCCCCTTAGTTACTGTTGCTAAGCAGCAGAATCAGTGTTTCCAAGATGTTGAAGCTTTTTGTCCCGCAGAGATTCACAAACCATCGTTACTGTATCAGCAGCTGGAGACTCTGTTCTGTTCTCCAGACTGCAAACAGCCTTAAAACGAGTTCTGGTGATTCAGTAAGTAAATGAAGAAATTCTCAAACACTATCACATCTAGTGCATCAAGTATGACCACTGAGAGATACCAGGACAATGTAAGCCTCACTGTTTCTGCACCGCAGTCCATTATAAACCACATAATACATATAGTTTACAAAGGCATTGTCAGGTGAGGATCAAGGCTCCTCTCACTTTGCTTAATTAGATAAGCAATCTGCAAATATTGCCAAAAGCTCTTTTGGTTTTTGAAATACAACAGAAATACAAAGTAGTACTGACAGCCATAGTTTCAGCTTGTGGTAAAACGGTTTTAATGGGCATTTAGCAGGTGAAAGTACAAATTACGTATTCGTGTGCACATCAATATCCAATAACATTTTCTGAATGCAAATTTCGAAAGTATTTATTATTGGTCACACGGTCTTGTTATATATCACCATTAGCAGTAAAAAGAAATACATGTTTTCCACCAGGGCAGTAAAATGTTTAGTTTAGCTGCTGATCTGAGCTTCCCTGCTGTTAAAGTTTCATTACCAATAATATTCATCAGATGTTTGTCTCAGGAAGGTAACAACGCATTTCTGTCCACGTAACAAAGCCATGACAGAGCGCTGGAGAAGAACTACACGAAATTACAATCCAACTACTGTACATATTACACATACAAAACCAAAAACAGAGCGCTGGAGAGAGAGAGAGAGTAACTATATGAAATTAATCCAACTAACATAACACCACAAGCCAAAGCACAGCGCTGGAGAATAAACCAATCCAACTAACAATAAATGTTTTTCTACCAGTCAGTAATAGTTTAGCTGGCTGATGCTTCCATGCTCTAAGCTAACGTTTTGGTTTTATTGCCAATTAACGTTACTGATCAGCGGATTGTCTCGCTGAGTAACCGGCAAAGCCAAACCAAAGGCTTGAGAATAAGTAGGCGCCATGAAATTAATTCATATTTCACACCACTGACAGGGGAAACATGTCACGGCTCTCTGTGATTATGGCCAGCTTCTAGCTAAAGCTATCAAACAACAGTTTCATTTGCTAAAGTCTGACAAACAAAGTTAATTACCTGTCCAGCAGAAAACAGACAACTTCAGCACCGCTTTGAAAACATCTGTCCCACATTAACATTATAGCCTTCCATCAGGGAAAATACTAGTTTGAATTTATTACAGAGACAAATCATAAGCAAAACATTACATAACATACATTAGAGATACACATACAAAACTCATTCATACACAACTCATTCATACATAAACTCGCTCACCAACTCACACGACCCCTCCCACTAAGTTAAATAACACAAGTTGTATTAATAATAATAATACCATTATATTTATAAATTGAAATTTAATTAAATAGATTATAATTTATTTATTATTTTCTCTGTAAAGTAAGAAGAAGATAGTGATCAACAAAATCAAAAGCCTTAGTAAGATCAATAAAGATTGCACCTGTGAATTGGAATTTATCAAAGGATGAGAACACATCATTTGTGAACTTAGGTAGAGCGGTAGTAGTGGAAAAAATTAGGTCTAAAACCAGATTGTGATGGAGATAAAATATTGAATTGACTTACTTTGATAACATTGTGATGCACTTTGACCACAGAGACTCACTCAGTGTTTTACTGGATCACATGCAAACACATGTTTCAGAAAGCAGGCTTAACAAACTGAGCTTATCCCTGAGCTCTGAGTTGATTGAGCCTGAGGTGGGAAACTCTAATAGCCTGAAATGAAACGGTTTGTCAGACAGCCGCCTCAGGCTCTGCAGGAGGAGAGGAGTTAGAGAGAAACTGACGGTTTTCCGACTTATCCTGTGAACCTAACCTCCTCCTAATGAGGTTAGATTCACAGCATCAGTTGCAAGAGTTCCTGAGATACGGAAAACCTAGAGTTTCCCTCATCTCAGGCTTAACAGATTTTTCACAAAAGAAACGGGGCCCTGAAGAGACGGCTCAGGTGTGTTTCACTTCTGTGTGAAAACAACTAGAAATTACATTAATTGTTCTTATGTAATTTATATGTAGCTTGGCAATCCTGTTATACATTCATGCCAATAAATTTTGAAATGCATCACATGTTGTGAGGAGATGAGTTATGGATCATTTTGAGAAACATGGATATTCTCTGAGGAGGAAAACTGTAAATACAACCTCCAGAAAGCATTTCTCGACTCAGCATCATGAAAATGGATCTAAAGCCGTGAGACTGATGGATTCACGAGGCAGAAAAACTTTGGTTACAGCGCCCCCACATGGCAGAGTGGGGCCATATATTCTCCATGTGTGATGACGGAGGAGAGGGTAAAGTCTGATGTGTCTAAGATTTATGGTGTAACCCTCCCCCTCCCTGTCTCTGCTGGGACGTCCTCAAAGCCAATATGTTGTCTCTGGGTCATTCTGCTTCCTTCGTCCTCCAGCCGGTGACCCAGAGATCCACAAGCTCCTCCGTCATCCAGGACAAACAGTCTGCTTGTTTACCGGTCGGCTGATCTGATGGACAGTAAAAGTGGAAAGAAGTGTAAACGGGAATGACAGCAGCAGCAGCAGAGGCTCTGATCGTCTTCATGATGATTCAGCAAATGGGAATGATTCCATGTGTTGCATCCAAATCAGAAATGAATCCTAAAAACTCTGGACTTTGTCTGCATTCCTCTTCTTCTTTCCACTTTATTTCAGCTCCTTCAGGATAGCTGAGGTCCAAATAGCTGTCCTCTTTTTCATTCTCTAATCTCAGTCTGCTGTCACACTTCATACACTTCACAAAGTCTCTGTCTTTATTGCTCCCTCACATTTAGAGCCTGAATTCTGGCTGGTTTAATGTGGTTTAATGAGTCTGGGTCTCTCCGAGTCCAATGGCCATCCTCGATAACCAATATCGTGAAGCTGCTTAAGGTCTGGCTCTGTTTACTCAGGGTTTTCCATCCAGCTCTGAGTGTGTTCATGTGAAACAGGAAGAGTTGTTAGTTACAACATCACAACCATAAAGGAAGAGCTTCATCTGAGACCTGCTAATATATATTAGATTTCAGACAGATTATTGGGCAGATGGTACAGGAAGCTTTCAGCTGGCAGGTGACACAATAAGACTAGAAAGTTATAAACAGGATTCGAAATAGATTCAGGTCCACACAGTTTTCAGTAAAGACACCAGTCATAGTCCACTGAAGCCAACAGGGTGTTAGTGGATGTACATAACTGTACATGTCAGTAATGACCGCTGGATTGTTTCTGATCTCCGATTTCTCTTCAGTCTTTTCTCTAAATGTGTAAATGTTGGATTTCACACCTGGTTCTATTTAGATAAAAAGAAAGAAATCAGATGTAATGTGAAAGATTACTGTTTCAGTTAGTTACTAAAGCTACAGATGAATGAGTCACGGCTCAATAAGAAAGGTATATATATATATATATATATATATATAAATATACCTATATATATATCTCAAAACATTTGATATGAACAGATGGAACCAGGTCCCATTGTTTAACAGTGTGACGTGCCTCATAGACAAATGTTTTAATCTCTCCAATACAGACAGCAGAACAGATGTCTGATGAAATGAACAAATAAAAAGGTTACAAGAAATAGTTGTCTTTGTGATATTTATTAAAAGTAAGAATGACAGTGTGATTCAGCTGAAAGGAAAGAGCTCGTACACACAAGGGCAATAAGAGGCTGACCCAGAGAAACAGATAAGACATTTAATGCTAGAGAATAGTTGTGGAGTCTACGAGAAAAGCTTTTGAGCTTTGAGCCACAGTGGAAACTCTATTCTCACAAGAAAACACAAGACAAAATAATCTCACTTAAAGTGAATTATAAACATTTCTTGAATAATCAAAGATAATCTTTAAATTAAGATAAAACATTTCTATCTTGAGCTGACATGTCTTCACCTCAGTTGGAGCCAACTTGTCTCTTTTCATTGACTAGATCTGGCTTTGCTTTCAATTTGAACACAACCACATTCAGTAATAGAAAACAAAAATATACATGTAAATATGAAAATAGGGAAATATGTTTAACTACAACACAGTAACAGGAAAATGTGTTTGAAGCACACAGAAACAATATTTCAGCAAGCGTGGGGGTTCATTTATGACCTTGGGTCTAAACACAACCCTCACATTCTTGTGTTGGAGCTTTTGACCACATCCCATGGCTTTCCTAAGTAAAGCGAACTTCCTCAGTTGTCATCACATGACGCTAGTCCAGCACAGTCACATGATAACAGGTGGATGTATACAGTTGGAGATGGTAACCACTGTCTCTGGTCTCACATGCAAGTGACTCAGTGTCGTTCTGAGGTCTTGTCATAATAACTAAGCCTGATCCATTATCTGAAGAAGGCTGTAGAAAGTCTCAGCTGAAGGGTCTTCTTGATGGCTCATTGTATGTGACCACTAGCGGTGCATTTCCAATTTCAGTCTCATTCAATGGGAAGGGATCTGTGCTGCTTTATCACCACTTTGGGAGACAACGCTGCACAAAATACAGGCTTTTGGGAGAGGAGGGGCAGGTCAGTGTGTAGAAGCATTCATAGCAACATACATGCTGCTCAGAATATAGAGTTTAAATTTTACTGGGGCACGTGTCATGTGATGTGCCCCAGTAAAATGGTCAAGAACTGTTAGCAACAAAACATCTGCATTGTCCTGTCAAGTTAGTCATAGTACATAGGCAATAGTACTTTCAAAATAAATGTCTTGGTTAATGTGAAACAGCACATTGTTAAAACATTGCAGAATAACTCATCAAAAGGCAAAAGTGAGTATTTACAACATTGATTAGAGGATGAAGAGTGACTATCCTTAAGGGCACAAGAAGAGAAAAAAACTAAATGAGAGTGACAGTCAGGTAAACTTGTTCTCGTCTCTCTCAAAGTCTGATGTCGGCAGATAACAGTAGCCTAATGTTAAGCTACTGTGCAGCTGCAACGCATCTCTGTCTGTCTGTTTTTGTTGCTTGCCTGACAAATGTTAGCGTAAAATACAATTATTTATTACGTTTGATAAACAATGACAGACGACAGTGTTTTTCAACTGCAAGTCGGAAAACGCAACAATGTCGTGCGCTCACATGCTCTCTTGTGCACAAAATAAAACTGGCACATTCCAGCTGCAACCTGTTGGACCAGTACAGCTGCTTATGTTTGTCAGTGGAGTAGATACTGGATTATCAGCCAGTACAAGCACAGTTGATCCACATTCAGCTTCAATCAGTAGGAGCACGGCCATAGATGTACAGCCAGCATCAGATACAAGCAGCTCAGACCCAAATGGAACAGTTGCTGCTCCACCAAATGACCCAGCAGATTGGCCCCCAGTCTTATCAGACCAGGCGCAGAGGTCCATTCAAATCACTGGATTTTTCTGGGAAAGGTTTCCATTCAGACCTATTACAGAGACAGACTGTTTTAAAGGGGGGAGGATTGTAGTTAGAGCACTGTGGAGCCAGGTGTGACGGTGCAACAATGGCAAATTGTTTACGTGGCTCACACGTCAGGTAGGAGGGCTGCATGGCAGAATTTTGCTTAGGGCCTCAAGGAGGTCAGGACCGGCTGTGGGGGTGACGTAGGTATGTGTGCTTATGTGTCGTCAAAGTCATATCAGTGCCAATAATAATGGGCAAGGGAATTTGGTTAAGCACACACTAACTCATTCCATACGCTTTCAAAAAAATTATATCGGGGGGGCATGTGCCCTAGTAGAGCTTTATGTGTAGCAACGCCCCTGCTGTTGTCTATCCCTCGGTTTGTAGAGAAGCTCAGAATATAACTACACAGCTACGTTGGTGACATTTAAGGTGACCACTCTGAGAAAAGGTTTTCCCACATTGTTCACACCAGTACGGTTTTCCTCCAGTGTGAATACGTCTGTGTCTTTCTAGGTTACCTGCTTTAGTGAAAGCTTTCCCACATTGGTCACAGCTGTACGGTTTCTCTCCAGTGTGAATACGTTGGTGAACTTTTAACATGTCGGATTTAGTGAAAGCTTTCCCACACTGGTCGCAGCTGTATGGCTTCTCTCCAGAGTGTACTCGATAGTGGCTTTTTAGATCTCCTCCTCTAGTGAAAGCTTTCCCACATTGGTCACAGCTGTATGGTTTCTCTCCAGTGTGAACGCGTCTGTGTCTTTCCAGGTCACTTGATGTATTGAAAGCGTTCCCACACTGGTCACATCTGAATGGTTTCTCTCCAGTGTGAATACGTCTGTGTCTTTCAAGGTCACTTGATGTATTGAAAGCTTTCCCACACTGGTCACAGCTGTACGGTTTCTCTCCAGTGTGAATACGTCTGTGTCTGTATAGGTCACCTGATGTTTTGAAAGCTTTCTCACACTGGTAACAGCTGTATGGTTTCTCTCCGGTGTGAACACGAATGTGTGTTTTTAAGTTACTTGATATATTGAAAGCTTTCCCACACAGGTCACAGCGGTATGGTCTCTGTCCAGTGTGAATACGTTGGTGGACTTTCAAAATATCTAATCTAGTGAAATGTTTCCCACACTGGTCACAGCAGTATGGTTTCTCCCTGGTGGCGACGTTTGAGTCCCTCTCTTCCTCTCCGTTTCTATAGCAACAGACAGCGAGAGAAAGAAAGACAGTAAGTGAGATGTCATGGTGGAGCGAGTTATCTAGCACCATCAATGCGGCTAACACTAATGAGACCAGTGTAAACCTGGTTCCATGACAACACCGCTGTGGACTCGATTTATGACCAGTGTAGTTACAATAAATCCCATTTAGAACATGTCTGTAGAACATAACCCACAATGTTCAAGTTTCAAAAAAATAAAAAAATAAAATAAAAAAGGTCTACCGCTATAGGGATCTTTTCTAAAATATTGTCAGACATATTCAGAGGCCGTAAATGGCAAAAACAAGCTCTGTAGATGTAATTTGATGGGGTGCTATTGCCCTCAAGGATCAAGTCCAGCACTGTTTCACTGCTGCCGATGAAAAAAAAAAAAAGATTAAATATCTGGGTGTCATAATTTACTCCAGGCTGTCAGAACTGTCATGGCTAAACTACACGCCTCTACTTAAATCAATAGAGTATGACCTTGTGTGATGGACGACATTGCCCATAAATATAATTTTATTTATTTAGCACACTTAAAACAAGCTAGGTGCTTTGCAGGTTAAATAGTGCCCATATAACTCATGGGAGAGATCCAGGATCTAATGGCACAATACAGAACTAGCAATAACGTTCTTGAATATCAACCGTTCAAATGCATAATTCGGGCAAGATTTAAGTATAACAAAATGGACTTTACCTCCAATGATGACAGACTTTATTAAACTCTTGCACCCAAAAGGTATTAAGATAAACATGTTATTGTTGAAAATAGATAGTACTATCTTTCTCACATTCTTAAAGTGGGAGGCAAATCTATCCATTAGTCCAGACCAATACTACTGGACGCAAATAGGTTTAAATTAGAGCCCTACTGATTTATTGTCCAGCCGGCATTATCGGCCGATTTGACGTGATTGTATTTAAGTCGGCATCTGTGTTTATAACAGCAGATATACGAGTTTAAAAAAAGAAACAGACAGATCCTTCTCTTTTCCAAAAAGACACTCAGACAGTCTCTATCATTACATGTTTAGATCACTCAAAGAAACTGGTTGAGAAAATGATGCTATCAACTGTTTGGCTCTTGTTTGGCTGTTATTAAAGATTTGGTCAATCATAACCAATTTATCAGTCTTTTTTATTCAGCACTAAGTTCATCAGTGTCGACTGGCTCTTGCACTGCTCAGTAGCACAGGTGGTATATTTTCCTGTTTGACTTCAAACATAGTAGATATAATAGAGTTATTGTTTTTCATCAGAATCAGCTTTATTGCCAAGTACAGTCCTGCTCACCATTATTAGCACCCACGAAGTTTAAGTACATAATGTGGAATATCTTCTGAAAAATTAATCAAGTGAAACAATTCTGATTTATTAAGAACTCATGTTTGATACAAAAGAGCAAATGATAAACAATTTAAAACAAGCAGTGGGAGGAAAAAACAGAAAATCTTAAAGCTTGCTAAAGGTAGCTAAAGCTAAAAAAGGTATTGGCACCCTTTGCTGTAAATCAGTATGGAAACACATTGTGACTCACCTGTGGTAAATCACAAATGAGATTCCCCTGTGATAAATTGTCTGTGCCCATGTGACATGAATTAGCCAATGAATGATGACTTTGGTGTTATAAAAAGCCATCTGTTATGCCTGTTCCTTTGTCACAATGGTGAAGACAAAAGGAGCTGTCGGAGGACATTATAAATGCGATAATTAGCAAACACAAGACCTCCAAAGGGTATGAGGCCATCTGCAAAGACCTTGATATCCCTGTTTCAACAGTGCATAATGTTATTAAGAAGTTTGCCAAGCATGGAACTGTCAACCTCCCTGGCCGTAATGGGAATAAAAAAATATATATCGATGAGAAGTCTGCAAAGGTTGGTTCGAAGGGTGGACAAAACACCTTGTCAAACATCCAAAGACCTGAAGGCCAACGTGGAAAAATCTGGAGTCATTGTTTCAACAAATACCATACACCGCACACTAAACCAAACAGGGCTTCATGGGCGAAGGCCAAGGAAAACACCATTGCTGAGGAAAAAACATAAAAAGAAACGACTACCAAAGATCCTTCTGGGAAAATGTTCTGTGGACAGATGATACAGGAAGAGCTTTTTGGCAGTGCACACCAACAGTTTGTTTACAGACGGCGCAATAAAGCCTACAAGGAAAAGAACACCCTTCCAACAGCTGAGCATGGTGGAGGATCCATAATGCTGTGGGGCTGCTTTGCTGCATCTGGTATTGTAGGCCTTGACCATATCACAGGAATCATTAAATCGGACAATTATCAAGAGATTTAGAGGGAAATGTCCTACCCAGTGTAAGAAAACTTGGTTTGAGTCGAAGATCTTGGGTCCTCCAGCAAGACAAAGACCCAAAGCACACATCCAAAAGCATGCAGGAACGGTTGAAAAGGAAAAAAATTGACACTTTTAAAATTGCCAGCAATGAGTCCTAATCTCAATCCGATCTTTTGTATGAGCTGAAATCTGCCATTGGGGAAAAGAAACCTGCAAACGTTCAAGAGCTTGAACAATTTGCAAAGAGAGTGGGAGAAAACACCAGCTGAGAAGAGCAAGAAGCTCAGATGGCTACAAGAAACGTCTGGAGGCTGTCATCACTGCCAACGGGTGTGCAACCAAATATTATTGCTGCTTTTTCTTCATTGAAATTACAATATGTAAATTGAAAAACAAAATTACATTGGATCTCCAATTAAAAGATCCTGATGATATAAATTTGGTACATTTCTATTTATTTCTGAAGATATAGATAGAGGTTATGCAAAAAATGAAGGGGTGCCAATAATGGTGAGCAGGACTGTAGGTTTAAACAGTGCTAAACATGGCAGGTTTAAGAAAAGATTCATCAGGTCTTATTTAAAAACAAGAGATGTTTCTGTGTCATATATAGTGACAATGCCCGACAGTCAGAAGGGCCTACAACTAAATTTGTGTGTCACATGACGTTTTTGGTCAAGTTATCATTGAATTATCATGCCTGCAACTTCGACTACATGTATTAACTGAACATGGAATTATAATAACAATAATAATGGGGTGCATTATTATTATTATTGAATAGCTGTTCAGTGCTGCACGAGTAGTGTACTTCTAATGAGAAAACATTTATAAAAGGAAGAATGCCTACTATTTCTGAGGCCTGTGTCAGAAAGCGGGTTTAGTGAAAGTTGAGCCCAAGATAAGAGAAACTCTGGGTTTTCGGTTTCAGAGAGCAAGATCAGATAAACTCTGGGTCTGTAACCCGCCAACTTACGCTGTGAACCCAACCTGCTTGGGAGGAGGTTTACATCAACTAACGCTGAGTTTCTCTCCGACTCCTCCTGCGGAGCCTGAAGCGGCTGTCTGATATTTCCTCATACATACTGTCGATATCAAAGACTGGAACGCAATTACGTCTTCAGAAACATCAAAATCACGGTTAAATAGGCTGTTAGTTTTTGTTTTTTAACACACGATCTTCTTGAACATGACCTCTTTTATGATCAACCTGTCATCGATGTAAGGACAGAGAGTTATCTTTGGACATCGTAAATTTATCCTCAGCACAGAATAAAATCTATAAGCTGCACTGTCCTTTATAACTCAGTGACTCTGTGGACATTAAGGCAGCTGTCAGGTTGGCAACAGTTGCACAAAAACACTTACCGTGCATTAGAGTGCTGCAGTATAGGCTACTGTTTAAACTGATCTGTATAAAACTGATCAATGAACAGTAACCTTTCATATTGTAGTCGCACAGATTGAACATTCCTATCGTAGTTATCAGCTGGATATGATGTGAATATGATTGTTGAGGATGACTGTGGTGCAGCTGAAACAACAGTTTTAGATTATCTTTTGATAGTCTGAATGTGTTTTGACAGCATTTCATAAAATACAAAATGAGCAAAAAAGTAATTAATAGACGTGCTGAGTCTAACACTTTACAATCACAGGTCCATCAGGAGCCTAAACTGTGTCTAATCTGTTCATTAATATTTTTATCTTCAGTTATTGCCACCGGCATTTAGTCCCGTCAGGTTCCAGCTGCATAAACAGGCCTGTAGCTTTTTAAAATGAATAACAGGCTGCAGGTGAATCCCAGCACTTTTCATTCATTAAGGAAACTCCAGTCTGGTAAATGATGAATGAGCAACGCTGAATAAAATGTAATATTGTTAAAGTATTGACTCCTTCCTCCACTCCTGCGTTTTAAAGCCCATCATAGTCCACGTTGGCAGCATTCATATTTCTCGCTCCATCCGATTAAAATGGAGGCTCTGCCTTTATTTATTTACCCGTTGCCATAGTGACTCGTAGTATCGGAGCTCCATTGATGAGGCTTTTTTTCATCCCCACGCACGCGCTTCCATCAGGCTCAACGTACGCAGAGTTGACTGAACTCATTTTAAACACCTGTTCCGGTTTCTTGAACCCGTTTTCTGAAACGGGGCCCTGAGTCCACTGCTGGACCGAGCCGTGGATTTGTTGTATCGTTAACTAGATGTGAATACACTAAATTGGAAGTAGTTATTACAGCAGATTACGTGTAAGGTAAAATAAACATGCTTATTCTCTCTCACTCTCTGTTTACAGATGGCTGAAAAAGTTGCACCTTCCAGTAACATATTTATTGACGTGCAATTGTTTACATGTGAAGTTGTTGAGACTGTAATTTTATTAACATAATCCATGTAGGAAAAAGGTTTTATAGCCCACATATAGTACCGCTTTCAATATCAGCCTGTTCTAAGTGTAATTTATACAGGAAAGGGGTCTACTATCCAAATCATTTTCAAAATCTAAATATCGGCTCATAAATCGGGTCTTTTTCACTTTAATATCGGCATTTCTTGTAAATCTCAACTTAAACATTAATGTAATCTAATATTAAACCAAAGCTATTTGCCACTGGCAGGGCATTACCTTTAATCTGGCTTGTTAAAACAAGTTAGAGTCGAGAGCCACGATCATAACAGGCACCTTCTGAGCAACAGGTTGACATATTTAAATCTGTTTTCAGGTATCAGCAGAAACATATTTCTTTTATCAGGGAGCAACATAAACAGCAAGGTGCAGCAACATAAACAGCAAGGTGCAGCAACATAAACAGCAAGGTGCAGCGACAAGCGGGTCCATTCACGAGAAACTGTTGCGGTTGTGCTCGCCTCACACACACACCTGCCGACGGAGTTGAATGGTCTTGAACTTTTTGGACGCGACACGGAGCACAAATCATTGAAAGAGAAACTGATGGTCGCCGTTTGAATTTCCAGAATCTAAATAGTTATCACGACATCAACAGGAACTTCCCCGCAAAACTAGATGAAGGCCTATCAGGTAAAGTTATGCAGCCTATAATTTTCACGTCACTTAAATAGGCTACAACTGTGTAACTCACAAAAGCCGTTACCGTGGTTACCCTAAATCGAGCGCCCGCCATTTTCTCGTGGAGCGCTGTCTTCTTCAGAGTTCGCAGGGCCCGGGGGCGCTGAAAATCTAATTCCTTACATTTCCACACTGTAAGAGCCCTGACTGCAGCTTTTTACTGTGTTTCCTTTTATTCTATGAGAGTGAACCAGAACAGTAAACATGCAGCCGACGGATAAACAATGAGCTTAAAGTCACTATAAAACTCAGAAAACCGAGAAGCTGATGGGTCATTAAAAAGTCTCCAACACACTGTCACTGTATACAGTATATACACTGTATACTGAGTGGAGCGTCGCACAAACTGGACAACCTGGAGCCTGACAGTCAACCAACCCAAAACCAAAGAGATAATTTTCCAGACAAGCTACTGATGTGTGTCAAACCATTTTTTAACAGGTGAGAAACTTTGAGCTTGGCTGTGAAAGAGAGCAAAAAGGGTCTTTTTATGGCATCAAGAGATCAATAAACACCAAACTACCAATTACTGACTTGACTCAAGATATTCAGGTCAAACATTAATTAAAACCCACTGCCTTATTTGGCAACTAGGGCTGCTTGATTATGGCAATAATAATAATTTATTTAACTTATTATTTAACCATCCCTTAAAATACGGAATTGTCCCGTATTTGATAACTAAATAGCGCTTTGTCCCGTTTTGAATTAATGCGTGACGCGGTTTGTCCCGTATTTCCGTGTTGTCTTTAATGCAGCATCCCATGCAAATCATCCCACCTGCATTCTGTGAAGACTCTTTTCTACCCACGACTGGTTAATACTCACTCGCTGCCGTTGTTGGTTTCACTAATACAGTCAGGTTCATGGCCAATCCGACTCAGGTAAGACGGGTCTCTTGGCGTCACCTCTGCAACGAAAGCGGACGCAAAGGTACCAACGACGAGGAGAGTGGAAGACATCAAATAACCTTCCTGATGAGTATCAAGCTAAACTGCAGTTTGTCGGCCAGCGTTCTGTGTGGAGCACGGAGGCCGGTCAGACGTGTGACAGCATGCAGAGGCAGAGACTTAATAAAACGTACTAATTTTCTGATTCATCACGCTGGATTTCATGTGCTGCCTATTTGTTAAGAAATGTTGTTCCAATGTAAATGAATCACATCCCTACATTATGGTGTGATTTGTTTTTAAGGTTGAGGTATACAGTCAGACTCATAAGCATTAATTTAATAAGAGATCAGAGAGTTATAGGCTAATTAATACACAATCATCAAATTATAGTGCCTATGTGAAGAATTTAATTGTTATGCTTCACCAATCTATAGAATTGCATCCATCAATACTATAGAATTAACAACAAGTTGAATATAAATAAATACAATATATTTACTGACCAATCTAAATGTATTATGTCTGTAAACAGGTTATGTATGTGTGGTTTCATCGTTTGGATGGTATTACTGCAAACAACAACAAATATTTTAGCCAAAATCTATTTTCACACCACCCTTTTCAATTACTTAAATTCATTAGCAATTTCTCATCCTGTCCATCAACAGCCTCATCGCAGCATCCAGTGGTTCTTACATTATATTACATTTAGCCGACTCTTCTTATCCAAAGTGACTTACAATTGCTACATACAGTGGGGTCAAAAAGTATTTCAGCCACTGATTGTGCAAGTTCTCCTACTTAGAAAGATGAGGTCTGTAATTTTCATCATAGGTACATTTCAACTAAGAGACAAAATGAGAAAGAAAAAAAAAACCCCCTCCAGGAAATCACATTTGATTTTTAAAGATTTTATTTGTAAATTATGGTGGAAAATAAGTATTTGGTCAATAACAAAAGTTCAGCTCAATACTCTGTAACATAACCTTTGTTGGCAATGACAGAGGTCAAACGTTTCCTGTAAGTCTTCAGCAGGTTTGCACAAACTGTGTCTGGTATTTTGGCCCTTTCCTCCTTGCAGATCTCCTCTAGAGCAGTGATGTTTTGGGACTTTCAACTCCCTCCACAAATTTTCTATGGGGTTGAGGTCTGGAGACCGGCTAGGCCACTCCAGGACCTTGAAATGCTTTTTACAGAGCCACTCCTTCGTTGCCCGAGCGGTGTGTTTGCTCTCTGGCAAACTTCAGAGGGGCCTGGACATGTACTGGCTTAAGCAGGGGGACACGCCTGGCGTCCCTTTGGAGTCTGACTGTTTGAGGCTGTGGACAGGTGTCTTTTATACAGATAACGAGTTCAAACAGGTGCCATTAATACAGGTAACGAGCGGAGGACAGAAGAGCTTCTGTGAGAGACAGAAATCTTGCTTGTTTGTTATTGACCAAATACTTATTTTCCATCATAAATTACAAATAAATTCTTTAAAAATCCTACAATGTGATTTCCTGGATTTATTTTCCCCTTCTCATCTTTCTAAGTAGGAGAACTTGCACAATCAGTGGCTGACTAAATACTTTCTGGCCTCACTGTATGTCAGAGACCTCTTGAGCAACAATGGGCCTCTTGCTCAGGGAAACAATGGTGGATGTTTTCCAGAATGACCAACAAAGTGACAGCAGGAACAGGTGCTCTGTGGAGCTCATGAGGAGTCCTGTTCAAAGTTTCACTGCCGCTGTTTGAAAGACAAACAGCAACTCAGTGCTGCACGAGTGCTGTACTTCTGACAAGAAAACATTTATAAAAAGGAAGTAGGCCTAACATGCACACATGGCCACTGAAGTTCATGTTTCCAGTCAAATCTTATCAACGCATTTGTTTTAGCCAGTTTATAAGTTATGGACATGTTGATTTAATAAGTTAATAAAATACTAATTAATATCTATTTATTTTTTGTGGTCTTACCGTCATTGTTGGCCAACGTTTTTTTATTGTCACAGCTGTGTATTCAGACAACATGACTGTTGAGATGTGACACTGTTCACACTGATTTCAATAGCAGATCACTTATTATAATGTCCGCTGGTATCAATCTTAATGCGCTCCTGAAAATGTGTTTCAAGTTATGTTATACCACCACTGGCACACCATCAGGCCTGTGGTTGAGGGCCCCCGAGGGGTGTGGCCCCCGGTGCGGCTGACGTCCCTTATTTTTCTGTATTGAATGTGGCAACCCTTGCACGACTGACTTAGGAAACGTTGCACATTTATAGAACTTTTTCTAGTGATGACAAGAAGTGAAATACACCGTGGAGGAACTTGACACATGGCTAAAAACAGGACGTGTTGAAAAGCTGAGCACCAGTGGAGGAAAACTAAACTCCAGACTGACTCTGAACTCCACAAATACTCTTCAGAGCTGAAACCTGCAGACAGGCAGACTGTTTGTCACGGTGATAAACTCACCAACACACGAGGAAAATATTTATATTTCATCATCGTTTGTTCTGCGCGCTCCCGACACAACACGCGCCGCACCGCGCATGCGCCCCGCAGGAAGACCCCGGAACAAACAAAAGAGAAACGCTCGTGAGTTTTTTATTTCAGCTTCCTCTCTTCAAGATGAAAACAGGAATCACGGAGACACTTTGGAAATCAAACCACGTCAACAGGGTCTGATCTCTAACAACAGAATGAACGGATGATACACGGACCCTCGAGACTCTTCCTCGTGTCTTTAGTCTCGTGAGGAAGTCATGAACACTGACCTGAACATCGGTGCTATCAGAGCACGAGGCTGCTGTTTGGCTCCTGTGGTCCGGGTTCTGGTTCTAGTTTGTCCAGCAGGTCTCTGCTGTGACTGGTGGACTGACTCTGGATTCTGGTCTCGGAGATCTTCAGGCTGATACAGGAACTCAACACTGTGTGTCAATTACCCACAGTTCATAGCGTTGTGACGTGAAACACGGGGTTTTAGGTGGGGCGAGTTCAAGCTCAAAACGTTTTGCAACGTTTTACAACGTTTTCGGATTGAACGACATGTTTCTTTGCAACGAGCTTCGAGTTATGTTTTCTTCTGTTTGGTTACAGGTGTTACTAAAGGCAGGAACATGCTGTGCGCTTGCGTAAACAACAGGGTGTTCAGGGAACCACCGTCTCGCCACGTTTTGTCGGCTCTGAACTCGCCCCAGGGGAAACCCGGAAGCGAGAGGAAAGAAAAAAATCACGGCAAATCCGCGTTATAAGAGAAGAAAACAGTAAACAAGAATCAACACCTACGCTGATGTTAATATTGTTGAAAGTTTTCTTAACTTAAGATGCTGCATAGAACACATGAAGTCAGAGGAATTCAATCACATTATTACACACTTAGTTTATTCCATTGTGATTCCAGACGTGTCTGGAGTATCAGAGAAACTCAGGAGGATTTTTAACAAACACAACATCCCTGTGTTTTTTAAACCCAAGAACACACTAAGACAGATGCTGGTCCACCCCAAAGACCGCACACCCAAACACAAGAAAAGCAATCTAGTGTATGCGGTCCAATGCAGTGAGGAATGCACAGACCTGTATATTGGGGAGACTAAACAACCACGACACAAACGCATGGCTCAACACAGAAGGGCCAACTCCTCAGGTCAAGACTCTGCAGTCTACTTACATCTGAAGGACAGAGGACACTCGTTTGAGGACCACCAGGTGCACATTTTAGACAGAGAAGATGGATGGTTTGAAAGAGGTGTCAAGGAAGCATCTACACCAGGGTTGAGAAGCCGTCATTGAACAGGGGAGGGGGTCTACGCCACCACTTATCCCCCACTTACAATGCTGTCCTTTCATCACTTCCCAGGAAACTCAACAAACGTAACCTATTGGCCTCAGGTGAAGATACCAACGATGGTCGTTCAGTCTTGGCCACAGGTAGTCTTAACGACTGTAACGACTGTCGTCACAGCAACAAGGAACACTAACGAACCAGCGGTATCGATGACCCGGGATAACGACCCCACTGAGGTTAAATAGCTGAGTTTCCCTGCCAGTCAGTCAGAACTGAAGAAGTCCTTTGGATGAGGGACGAAACGTCTTCCAGTATCTTCAACCAAGTCCAGTTGCCCTTGATTTTAACCTTCGTTGGGTAACTATGACCTGGATGACTGAGAATCTTCATAGACATCTTAGTTTATTCAGCTATTTATTTTAGTTTTTGCTTAATGATGCTATTTGACCAACAATACTGTATTATTGACATATATATATTGACATTTACCTCTCCTCCACTCTGTAGGGCGAGAGCCTGCAGGACTTAAAAATAAGGCAAAAACATAAAATAAAAAGTGTGCAACATGTGTCATTGTCGTGAAGGTGAATGTGTTAATGTGGCAAAGTGCTGTCCCGTTCCTGTTTACAGCATTTTGAGCCCTTAAAACCTCTTGGACTCAGACTTAGTGACATCAGTTCTTCAGTCTTTTTAACGTCCACGAGGATAAAAGTTTTTGTGGTTTGTGATTAAAGAGATGTCCATCGACAGCACGCTGATCTTCTTTGGGGTCTTCATATGTGCGTGAAGGCTCAGCCTTTACTTTGTAAATAATCCAAATTAATCTGTACTAAAAGTTCACTTACTGGCTTTTTTAAAGGGCTTTCAGCAGCATCTTCCTCATCAGCAGATGGAGTCATGAAGTAATTTAACTTCAAAACATTATTTAGTTTCAGCTGTGTGTCTGCAGGGCTGCAGCCGGGGTTTGGGGAGTTAGTTTGTGGTGATCAGTTTGTTCATTTACGCTACTAAAACAAAATATAAGTGAAGTGATGAAGTCCTTGAGGATGCTGATGTCGACCTCTTCCTCTTTAGCTTCATCAGCTTTAATGTTTCAGTTGATATTTTGCTCAAATGCTGTTTATTCCATAATAAACTGGCGTTTAATGAAATAACAACAACCTTACTGGGCTGCTGATCTTCCATTATAGGAGGACTGGTTGTTTGACTTTGTGACTTTAAAGTGAAAACTATCATCTGTTGAACAAACTGAAGCTCCTCTGCTGCCTCCTGCTGGCTGCTTCCTGTCACTGTCAGTCTGTTCGTCCCTCAGGACAAACTGGAGAGCTCCTCACAAAACATTCACATTAACACAACAGCTGCATTTACTACACTGCTGTACTCAAGTACAACACTCAGGTACTTGTACTTTACTTTCTACTTCTGCTCCACATCTCAGAGGGAAATCATGTACTTTTACTTCACTACATTTATCTGACAGCTTTAGTAGGGATGGCTATACTTGATACCTTAGCCCGGTAACGAATAGTGTCAGTGACTATTTATATGGTTTTGCTTGCAGCCAATTGCACCATAAACTGTATTAAAAAAAAAGCCTGCACGCGCCGAGTCAGTGCTGATTTTAACAGCCGCTCGCCTTCGGTTTCAGGCATGTTACTGTTACACAAGTTTATCAGCACAAGCTTGGCTTTTCGTTGGTTTCATCATCTGGAATCATTTAACACATTTTTATTTGCTGTTCACTGATCAATCGCTGCGTTCATTCACATCAATTAAAAGCTGATTTTACTCAGGAAGCCTCCGGCAGCAGCTGTGGCCATTTCAGATGTAGATGGTTTGATCAGCTGGACGTTCAGCCTCTCTTTTCCTCTGTTTGCTTATTTAGACTCTTCAGTCTAGTTTAGTGACTTGTTTAAACTCCTTATTCGTTTTCTACTTCTTACTTCTTACTTCTTACTTAGATTCGTTTCTCACAACTCATTTGCTCACTAAACTATTTCACTTATCCTCTTTAGTTCAACTAGGCTATAAATAAATTTATTTTCCCTGTATAATACTAACAGTGACCTAATAAGGATGAGCAGCGATCTGATATAATTTCCCAATACTTTTGTGTAACAGTTATTTGAAAAAAATAAAAAAGATCCCCTTGCTTGTCTATAACAACAATAAAAATAGTAATAGGCTACCAATCAACTTCTATGGCTTCAACAGGTGGCCTTTTAAGCAAGGTATCGAATGAAGTACTGTGTTGGTATCACTTTAACGGCATTTCTCACTATTTACAGAATCTTTAAAAACCAAACAATCAATCGATGATTGACGGAAATAATCAGATTGATCCAGAATGAAAATAATCATTAGCTGCAGTCTGATGAGACAACTACAGCAGTAAAATGCTGCTTTTACATTAATGAGTCATTAAAATAACAGAAACTTCATATAATTAATATTTTTAATGCTGAAAAAGAATCAAAGTTATGACTTACTGAGTGATAATGATGAGATATGAAATAACTTCTTATCATATTTTTATCTATAAAAAGTATCTCAGTACCTTAAAAATGTTGACTCACCACAGGAGCTTTTATTTTGGTAATTCTTACCTTTTTTGGGCCATAAGGGTCAAACAACAGAGAATCCCTCAGTAATAATAGAGCCAGAACAGATCTAATTATTAACTGCAGCTTACAGCAGATACAAGCCAAACTACTGCAGGAAGCACATCAGCTTCTGTACGTTACAGTAAGGGAGGAAACATCAACGCTGACATGAGCTGAGGTGTAAAGGTCAAAGACATGTGAGCTAACAGACACATTAGAAAGTTCAATAACAAATCAAAGCTGCTCGTTCAGCCACTAAACGTCAGTGATTTCCTGTCAGAGCACAGCAGCATCCAGAGAGAGTAAAACAATGAAGGAAAGAGCAGAAGATGGAGGAACAGCAGCACTCTGTTCTCTTTATTCTTCATCTTTATTGGTCTGTCTGCTTAATGAGCAGCAGGTGGCGCTCAAACACAGTCTGACTCTTCAACAAAACCTCTGGAAGCTGTTAGACTCTGAAGGACTGAGAGTGAAAGTCTGGAGGTTTCTTTTGACCCCAAACAGACTCAGAGGCCAAAGAGTGGGCTTTTGTTTTCCACAAGTGATGCAGTTCATTAGAAAACATGATATTTAATAAGGAATGTGAGAGCGAGAAGACGATAAAGAGGTTTTCCACCATCAGCTTCCACCGCTTGTTTTGGTGCTGCTGCACAGACGACATCAGAATCTGAAGCAGGTTAGAAAGAAAATGTTGATCATTTATTTCTGCGCTCTGAGGATATGTGAGTTATTCCTACAGACACTTTATTTAATTACAAGCTGTGATCAACTTTCTGCTCAGACATGTTCACATTTACCTGTTTTACTTTGTTTTCTACTCAAAGAGCTACAACCAGTGGAGTGAGGACAGAATGAAGCTCATAACACATTAAAACAGGCTGATACATAAAATCAGGTAATGTTTAAGACATTAAAGGTTAAAAATCTCTTTAAAATCTTCTTTGAAATATTTTCCTTAAAGACTAAAGTCTCGTGGGTTTGTGTTGTGACTTCCTGTTTTATTTAGTTAAATCCTTCCTCATGTTTCTTTGTGAACTTTATTCATTCTGTGTTTCACTTTGTAACTAACTCCTCTCGTTTCAGACTTCCCGTCCTTGTGTTTTGCCGTTTCCACCTCTCTCCTGTGAACATATTGTTTGGTGGGTTCCCTGGTCTTTGGTCTTTATCTCCCATCAAGCGTCCCCGGCCGTCTCCTGTGTTCTTCCGTCATTTGTGTTTCTTTCCTTCTCTGTGGATTTTGAATTACTGCCTGTACCTGTCTCGGATTTGTTTGCTTTATAGACTGCCTGCCTCTCCGTTGGTTAAGTTTGATCTCTTTCTTGTTAATAAACATCACAAACTGTACCTCCTCTGAGTTTGGGTCCAGATCTCTTCTTTTTCTGTGCTTGTCTCAGTGTAACAGAAAGGGCCAACACTAATGAACCCGTGTGTACCAAATCATTAAGCCACTGAAGAATAGTTTTAGGTCACCAAATAGTGCAGACACACTTTGTAAGCTTTGTACACGGGCAAAATTTATCTCAAATGTAGCCTACAAATATCATCACTAATCA